CTGTTGAAACAAGAAACGGGGACCTGAGCTGCAGCTGCATGTGCCTGTGTGTAATATGTGGTTTGGCTCTCAGGATGCTCACTGAATGATTTAACATGCGTGTCCAGGGTCAGCATTCATCACATCTTCAGAAGTCTGGAGGAAATGGGTTGTACCAAAATGGAGGCCATTATAATCTGAGAATATGTTCCAACAGTCTGAAGACTAGTTTATCAGTTGGAAATCCACCAGGAAAATAAACAGGTGTTGACTTTAGCTGAGAGTCATGCGATTTGTTAAAGGATTATTCCAAATATTGCTCCAAGTCTGAAATGCTCATTTTACTTCAGCTTGATTCCCTCAAAACTGATATTTATTCTGAGAATGATACTGAATGGCTCACTAGAGGGCAGTATTGCATGAATATATCAATCATAAACATCACAACCACATCAATAGGTCCAGCTAATTAGTACCCAGGGTAAAACCAGCAGAGTGGGCTGAGATTTTAATTCTGGAGGGCTTTGAACATCTAAAACTCTTACTGAGGACAACTCTCCATGATATTTACCATCTAATAGGTCTGTTAGGTCAGTTTGGCAGTTGCAAAACAAGTGTGGCCCACTAAATAAAAATAAAAGCTGCAGTGTAGAGGGCTTCTGTTCATGACTACAGGCATCCCCTGGGATACCCCATTCCACTCTCCTCAGTTTTCCGTTTTTCTTTGCCAACTGATAACATGCCTTGGCCACTGAACATTCCTCATTGGCCTCTGGCTTTTCTTTAAAAAAACCACCAATGTTTTATGCCTCAAATGTACCCCTCACTTCCTCTCCCCACTGTCCTCACTCATCTCCCCACTCATTTCAACTTATGTTTCTTGCTTATTCCCACTTCCACCCCCGTCAGCCATCTCTCCCCACCCTCTTGAAGTAAGTGGCATGGTTTGGTGGCCCGGTGACTTCCAGATTTTATATTTGCTCATTACCACATGCTTGTGCAATCTAGCTGTTATCTGTTTTCAAAGGATGTTATCCCCTAAGCCTGGGTTGGGGGATCCCTTTAAAAAAAAATTTAGAAGCCATTCACTCATGCTGGGGGACCAAACAGGGGCCAGTAGGCTTTTCTTAATCCATGGCCCCTGCCAAGGCTGCCCCATGTTGCAGCCTCAGTCTTCAGCCAATTTACAGCACAATCACATTTTCTCTCTGCCACCACCTTCAGATAATAAAGTTCAGCATTTCTAGTCACACTTTAATCAAAGGTAGTCTGATAAGATTCCAAAATGGCAGCAGTTGGTTTTTGCTTTAAGCCATGCCCTGGCCTATATCAGATGTACATTCTGTGCTCAGCATAGGATTACCTTGTCCTTATCAGGCCCATGATGAGAAAATATACCCCTGTTGTTAACGCAATCAAATTAAATACTCCACTCACTTAATATATCTGGCTTCTTCATCGACTTTTGCAGTGTAATGGTCTCAATAGCATTTTTTTATTTCAAATGCAGAGGGTTTCAGACTGGAAATATCTCCTTTCTAATATTCAGACGATGTAGAGGAATGGCAGCCCTTGTTGGCTCTTGAACAATGTGAAAATGTGTACTGTGCCAAGAGAAACTATACCAAGCCAAATATTAGGAAAAATTATTGTCTCAAGCGGTTGGTTTCAGATGGTTTTGTAGCATTCTGATCCAAATGATTGTGTACTCAGAGCCATTGTTAATCAAGCAGCTTGTGTAGACAGCTTTCGCAGTGTGCCATTGATGAGGTGGCTGGCATATATAGCCTTGGAGAAACTGTACATTGCAATGCCAAGACTGTTACAAGTACTTCTGCAATCAAAGAACCTTATACTCCAGTAGTCTGTTTACGAATGATGGTATAAAACTGTTGTAATTTTAACCCATCTTCCAGTTAGTCAAACAGATATGACAGTACAAAGCTGCTAGTCAGTTTTTCTGCCTTGGCAAGACCAGCTCCAATGAATGAATCTCTCTGTGTATCCTTTATTCACCACTAAAATGGGAACATAAGCTTACCTCATCTCATTTTGGAAATTGGGCACTTGAGAATTTTAAATTATTCTCTGTTCAGCATAAAAAATTACCACTGTGAAATACAGACATGCTAAAAAGAATGAAGCACTTATGATTGACAAAAAAATATTGAAGGTCAACATTAAGAAATAAAATACAGCAATTAGGAACTAACTTATAGCAGCCTGAAGGAATCCCTGTTGGAGTTAGAGAACAAATGAGAATGGAAGCTGTGAGGCACACAAGCAATGTCATTAAACAGAAAGACAAATACCAAGCACCTTAAGGTGAAGAATTGTTTCCATGACAACAGATTGCTGCTGGAGCTATTTCTTTAAAAAATTATGATGATCTTTCTGTCTGTTTGGTTGCTACAATCTAGGCCTCCATGTTCAGGAAAATTATGCTGATGAACAGGAGAGGTATATCATCATCCTGAGCTGTTGTTTTTACAACCATGGTCCTAAACACTTGCTTCTTATTGGAACGATAAGAAAGCTTGCTATAGTTAAAAGGGTATGAGGAAGTGATGCAGTGTAGGAGGGAGGGAAGAAAAAAACAACCCCAAGATATGTTTTATAGTTTTAGGGTTGCCATACATCCAGAATTTCCCGGGCATAACCAGAATACTGCAGTTGGAAGCAGTGTCTGGGTGGAAATCGCTGAAATGTTTGAAATATGCACTTGATTTGTCTGGGAGAGATAAACCAGGAACCTGGATTCACACAGAACACTAAGCCAAACCATAGCTTAGCTAACAGCAAAGGGGCAGTGGCGGTAGTACTTACTTACTTACCTACTCTGTAATAACAAACTTCAAATTCCACTCCAATGGGTTCTCCTAGACCCAGGATACTACAACTATTCAGTCTCACTTATTCCCTGTGAGCTCTTAACAATAACCTAGGAATTGTGGGGTAGAGGAGTGGTACAAAGCCAGCTGGATACAGATGTTACCATTAACAAATGTATTTATGCTGATTTGTTACAAGATCATTAAGTGCACAGGCTTATCTGGTTATTTTAAAATAGTACTGCATATTTAAACGAGCACACACTTTGTTAACTTGTTACTGCCCTTTTAAATACCAACAGCTTCTATTCAACTACAGTACATATTTATGATATACTATGACAGCTTGAAGGAAGCAGTTAGTTACCCTATAAAAACTCCTTACCCCAAATGCTCCCTTTATCTCTCTATGCACCCCAATTAAGCTTCACTAACACTGTCAATGAGGGCTGGGCTGGAAGCCCTTTCCCCCTTAGCCCTTTACTGGCCTATTAAACCACAAGCTGATCTGGCTCTACTGCCCTGGAAAGCTTCCCTCTGGTCCTCCTACCAGCCACTAGAGACCAACATGCCAAGCTGCTTCTCTCTTCTCCCCAGTTTCTCCCCTTGTCTCTCCCATCTAAGCCAAGTGATTCAATTGGCCCCAGCAAGTCTCTGGCCATCTCGATCCATTTCAATTGGGGTTTTGGCCTAGTTTTGGCCCAGAAACTGCTTTGGACTCTCTGCATGATAACCCCTGTCTGGAGAAAGATGGAGGAAATGTGTTACTGTTAATTCTCCTCAATCTCTCAGCAGCTTTTGACACCACCTGGAATGGCTGTCTGAGTTGGGGGTGGGTGGCACTGATTTTGCAGTGGTTCTGGTCCTGGATGGTCATTTCCCAGAGGGTGATGCTTGGGGTGGGGGGTGGCCCTGTGTAGCTTCCAATGTGGGGTTCCTCAGGACTCAGTTTTATCCACCATGCTGCTTAACATCTACATGAAACCGCTGAACTTCTAGAGTTTTGGAGCACGTCAGCAATATGCTGATGACACACAGCTCTACTTCTCCATTATATCTGCAGGTGTGGCAGTGGATGTGCTGGACCATTGCCTTGCCTTGGCAGTGGACAGGATGAAGGCCAACAAGCTGAAGCTCAATCCAGCTAAGACTGAGGCATGGCTGGTGGGTGGTTCACTAGACCACATGGCTGGGAGGTTGCCTGCTCTTGATGGGGTTACATTCCTTTTGAAGGAGTGGGTACATAGCTTGAGGGTACTCCTGGATCCTTTGCTTTCGTGTGAGGCTCAGATGACCTTGGTGCTGCAGAGTGCTTTCCATCAGCTTTGGCTGGTGGCCCAGCTGCACCCTTATCTGGACAGGGATAGCCTAACGCAGGCATCCCCAACCTTCAGCCCTCCAGATGTTTTAGATTACAATTCCCATCATCCCTGACCACTAGTCCTGTTAGCTAGGGATCATGGGAGTTGTAGGCCAAAACATCTGGAGGGCCGCAGGTTGGGGATGCCTCACCTAACTTCTGTTGCCTGTGATTTGAACCTCTAGGTTAGTTTACTGCAAAGCGTTATGCGTAGGACTGCCTCTGAAAATGGTTTGTAAACTTCAACTGGTGTGGTATTTGGTGGCCGGGTTCCTCATGTGATCATCATCTGAGGCCTGCCTTTATGTGCCCTCACCATGAGAGGCCTGGAGGGGAGTAACATGAGATTAAGCCTTTTCTGAGGTGGCTCCCCATTGGTGGCTCGCCTGGTGCCTTCATTACGTATCTTTAGGCACCATGCAAAAACATTTCTCTATTACCAGGCCTTTGGCTTATTGATTTGTTTTTATTATGTATTTTGTGTTCTCATTTTATATTTTTATGTTGTAAACCGCCCTGTGATCTTTGGATGAAGGGCAGTATACAAATTTAATAAATACCAATTATCATCATCATCATCATCAAGCCATTCTGCCTGCCTCTGAGATCTTCCTTCTTCTTCCCTGGTCCTCTTCCATTTTCATCTTCTAGATGACTTCATGAACACCAAGCTCCAACATCGCTAACTAACTCCCTGCTGATCAGCACCCATTCATATATACACTTCCTCCGGTCCCTCTTGTTCAGCTCCAGCCAATCACACTGTCTAACTGAAAATTCTATACTGCCCTCCACTAATCAAAATCTCCTTTCCCCCCTTCTTCATACTGAGAATTCTGACACCAAACCTTCCTTGCATGAGTCTGTTAAGACTCCAAGCGACAGTTAAACTGATTTTTACAGGACCAGACAAATACATTGCAAGACAAATGTCACTATGCATTATACAATACCCATACGAATGAACAGGATTTCTCCATAACATCTAAAGAAGGAGGGCCGAGGAAAACAGTAAATAGCACAACCCTTAACCATTTTCTAGTAAGAAGTAAGTTCTATTGAATTCAATGGGTTTACTTCCAGGTGAGTGGAATGATTGCAGTCAAAGCAAAGAATCTAAAATTACCTAACTGCACCAATGACTATCAGGGGCTGTAAATCTTATTGCTGTTCCAGCAAGGAAGGAGGCATGCGTAATCATTTCCATACTGTTTTCCGGGTCAAAGTTGTTCTGCCCTCTTAGGTTGTTTTTCCCCCTGCAGGCAGACAAATACAAGTACAGTATACTTGACGCATATTTGGCATTCAACGTTTGATTTGAAATATTCTTTATAATTTGGTGTTTATACCACTGGATAGGCAACACAGGCATTTTTAAACCACACCCGCCATCAAATAATTAGACTTTATACCTTGGACATTTTTAATATAGATGTAGTTTACGATTATTATGCAGAGGATTAACTGCTGACTGTGTGCAGCTACTGTAATGTGACGGTGCCATATTTCTCTGTATTTTCCTCTGTTCTATTGTAAAAACTTCAATTGCTCCATTATTGCCATATTATTTGGCACCAAGGAAGCCATTTACAACAGAGCACCATTATAGCTGTGCTAATTGAAAACCAGTTTGGACAGCTATAATTTAAAATTGATGACAACTGATTTCCAAAGCCCCCCCTTTTTTAGTATATCATAGTATATCAAATGATTAATCTATTAATATAACTTTACAGAATAAATGTTGCAATGTCTCAAAATAGTGGTTTTAAAAATACTTAATGAAGCTATGGAACCTACAAATTATTTTCTATGAGCTAGCTTGAATGGAGACGAGACTGGAACTTACCAGAAAGAAGAAGAATCCCCTTTCTTCCACCTGTTCTAACTGAACAAAGAGCTCCGTGTAACTCAAAAGCTTCCTTAAAGAAACAAAGTTATATGAACTATAGCTCCACCCATCACATATATACATTGGTGGCTTCTAACATACCTCCCCACTTTAAAAAGAGTGGCAAACCACCAGTTTCTTCTAAACATTTTAGTGTTGTTTCACACCACCCCACTCTCCAAGCGGTGTGAGATTCCAGGGGTACCAGGCGCTTACCCAGAGTTCATGTTTCCTTGGGAATTGAGGCACACTGGAGACTGTGATGTCTTTAGGATATATGATTTATTTACACATACTGTATATACAACCTGAGCCTACGATGGAAGGGTTCACAGCATCAACACCCTAAAGGGTCTTGTTTCTCCCATAGCCACAGCCCTGGATTCAAGCTGAGATCTACCATTTCTCTGCCTTTCTGACTTTCCCGCTTGCTGCCTTGCTTCTCAGTCATATAACTCCTTCCCCTCTCTACCTTTATCTGTTGAGCGATGGGGGCTCCAGCCATTTGCCATCTTGCACAAGCCGTTTGATGCTTCATTCTCTTAATAGCCCATCACCCAGGGGGCTAGCCTGACTTAATTAGCTCTTAATACTTGCTAAATCTGGGGATTAGAAGTGTCTAGCATTCATTTTAACACCCCAAGCCTTGATTAAATTCTAACACCTACTGGATCCAGGAATTTAGAAGTGTCTGGCACCCACAAACTCATGACATGTTGGATATATGAGGTTGCATGGCAGTAAAACAGCTGTAGTTAACATGATGCCCTCCAGATGTTGCTGAACTACAACTCCCAGCACACCTGGCCTCTGGCCATGAAGGGTGGTTTTCATGGAAGTTGGAGTCCAACAGCATCTGAAGGGCACCACATTGGCTGATTTAAATGCTGCCCCTTGATCATTTCCTATCCAGACAGGCTCTGGAAAAAAACCATGTATGGGAAAAAGATAGCTTAGAGCCATCCCTGCAAATGGCCTACCCTTAAATTTATGTTAACCTTCAGATACATTTACTTGCACATCTAATGCAGTTTATTTCTTCAACTAGTCTAGAATTCAAGGAGTAGATATGGAACCAGGAGGAATTGCTATGGGAGTGAAAGGAACCTGCCTTCGTTTAAAACCATGCCAGGTATTCACATATCATATTGCTGGACTAATTTTTTTTACAAAAAAGTATTAAATGTTGATAGGGTGATACGAATTCTGGTTGGAGGACGGCACCTTTTCTGCCCATAAATTCCTCATATTCATAGGAACAAAGTTGTTTTTCCCCCCTTTACCAGTTCATTAGCGCCATGCATCAAAAGTCTAGGAATGAAAGGTACATTGGGGGTGGAATTTTATTTTGAGAGCTATCAGCTCTTTGGAGACTCCTGTTCAAAAGTATTTTGATATAATGTTTAGGCTGTTTGTGGCTTCAGATTTGTTCATGATGAAATTCCAGGTAATGTTTCATAGGCTTGGCTTCCGACCTCTATTAGTTCTAAAAAATATTGACATTTGATCCTTTAAATAGGTGATATGAGACGTCTGCTTTCAATGTTTTAAGACAGCATCTATGAATGTTTCTCATTTTACATCAGAACTTAGGAAAATATAGTAGAGACTTCCTACTAGATTGTCTGGCTGCAGCAAAACCTATTTTATTAGGCTGTGTACGCATTACCAGCTTACTACTGGTTTACTCCTCTCCAGTGTGTTTCCACTGCTGGTGTTTAGAGGTGGCGCTGTGGGTTAAACCACAGAGCCTAGGACTTGCCAATCAGAAGGTCGGTGGTTTGAATCCCTGTGACGGGTGAGCACCCGTTTCTCGGTCCCTGCTCCTGTCAAACTAGCAGTTCAAAAGCACAGCGTTTTAAAATGCCTTATGAAAATGACTGTGTCCAGCTTACTTGGACTGCTGCTAACTTTTGGACAAGAGATATTCATGTAGTGCCTGTTTAACGTGACAACTAATTGTCACATACAGTATTCTAGTAGTGAATCAGTGATATAACCAAAACAGGACTACTGAGAAGCAAGAGGCAGGTATCAGCAGAATCAGGGGGTGGGGGGAGAGTTAGGAGAAAAAACTTAAGTGGGCCACCTGCATTCCCTAAATGGAACAACCTGGACTGAGCATGCTTTGTGGCCACAGAACACAGGCTGAAGGCGGGGCAGAAAACTAGGGAGGAGGAAGGAGAATGGAATGGAGTATCCTGAAAAGAGGCAAAGTTGGTGGAACCCTGAACAGGAGCACTCCACTTGCTAAGTTTACACAAAGCAGCTTCTACCTCAGGTAAAAAAAGAGGGGGGGGGAGTCCCTTTACTCTATTATTAACTAAAGAAATGCCCAAAAGGAACTAGAGTGAAGCTTTCCAAACTTTTCAAGTTGGTGACACACTTTTTGGACATGGATCATTTCGCGACACAGTAAGTCAGTTTTGCATCATTTCGCGACACAGTAAGTCAGTTTTGCACCATTTCACGACACAGTAATTCAGTTTTACTAGCAAACCGGAGGTTAAACTAACCCTTTCCAGCCCTAGGAGGAGTGTGAGGAGCGTTTGTGTAACACACGTACTATACATTGCAGCTGACACACTAATGTGTCATGACACATAGTTTGGAAAGCTCTGAATTAGAGGCTAAACTGACTTGTTCATGTACCTTCGTAGTTCTGGAGAAAGAAAGACTGCTGGGGCTCAAGTTGACTTAGGGCTGCTACATCAGCCACTATAATTTATGAGCATGGTAATATCGATTTTACAATATATGAAAGCAGAACATTGATCTTCTTGCCTTCTCCCCCTTCTTGCCATCTTCCTATCCATATTTCTCCCCCCTGGAAGTGCATTGATTTCTGAGCTCAGTGGTTGAGCCGTTGAATGAATCACAGATTTACAGTGCTGAGCTCTGCTGTGCAATTGAACACAGGGAAGGAAGTCCAATCAGGGTCTAATCAGAGATCTACTCTCCTAAAAAGCCTCCTGACTGCATCACAATTAGATTAATCAGAGCTTGAGAATATTTTCTGACCTCTGCAGCTGAAGCAGATGCAACACAGCGAAGGCTTTTTGCTTAGAAAATGAAGACCCACTGAGTTGCAACTGAGGTGAAGGGATAAATCACCCATTTTAGTCACCATTCAGCACAGAACATAATTATGCTTACCTTCTGATTAGGTCTAGGAACACAATGGCATTAAAATACGACAGTTCTATGTTGAATTTTTCCTGAGAATTCAATTATTATTATTTTAAAAAGTAAAACCTGGATTAATGTGTTGTTTCTTTTTTATATATGCGTGAATTTCCACTTGTGATGGCCCATGTTCTGTTGACTAGCTAGAATCATTAAAGTTGGCACCAGAATGTTTTATGTTGCTTTTCCTCCAGAAGGCCTAATCACTCGCTCACTCTTGAGAACAAAACATTAAATTGGACTGCCAGTGTTGCCAGAATCCCAAAAGATGGGCACTTAATTTGCATCTAATTTAACTATTATTTGCATACTTTGATGTCAGAATGGCATTTGCTCAAACAATTATTGCTGCCTGGATATAATCCCAATTTTTCACATACAAACTCTGTCTACAGTGCCTTCTGTCCTCTCCCTCTGAAGGAAATAGGTGGGAATCTGTACTACGTTATCAGATGCCAGCGACCATACACCCTCTCTACCCTAGCACACTGAACTTTTATGGTGGGCTTTTAATGGTGAACTTCTTTTGGGAGCTAATCTTTACTCCAAAGCAGTGTGAAAATGTAGGGTGGAGTCTTTGTGTATCTGAAGGGCATCTGATCCAGTGGATGGCTCCACAAATAGTAGAGGGGAGGTCATTTTTAATAATAATAATAATAATAATAATAATAATAATAATTAATTTATTATTTATACCCTGCCCATCTGGCTGGGCCTCCCCAGCCACTCTGGGCAGCTTCCATAGAAACCAAAAATACAGTAAAATATCGCACGTTAAAAACTTCCCTGAACAGGGCTGCCTTAAGATGTCTTCTGAATGTCAGGTAGTTGTTTATCGCTTTGACATCTGCTGGAAGGGCGTTCCACAGGGCGGGCGCCACTACCGAGAAGGCCCTCTACCTGGTTCCCTGTAGCTTTGCTTCTCGCAATGAGGGAACCGCCAGAAGGCCCTCGGTGCTGGACCTCAGCGTCCGGGCAGAACGCTGGGGGTGGAGACGCTCCTTCAGGTATACTGGACCGAGGCCGTTTAGGGCTTTAAAGGTCAGCACCAACACTTTGAATTGTGCTCAGAAATGTACTGGGAGCCAATGTAGGTCTTTCAAGACCGGTTTTATATGGTCTCGGCGGCCGCCCCCAGTCACCAGTCTAGCTGCCGCATTCTGTATTAGTTGTAGTTTCCGAGGCACCTTCAAAGGTAGCCCCACGTAGAGCGCATTGCAGTAGTCCAAGCGGGAGATAACCAGAGCATGCACCACTCTGGCGAGACAGTCCACAGGCAGACAGGGTCTCAGCCTACGTACCAGATGGAGCTGGTAAACAGCTGCCCTGGACGCAGATTTGACCTGTGCCTCCATGGACAATTGTAAGTCCAAAATGACTCCCAGGCTGCGCACCTGGTCCTTCAGGGGCACAGTTACACCATTCAGGACCAGGGAATCCTCCACACCTGCCCGCCTCCTGTACCCCAAAAACAGTACTTCTGTCTTGTCAGGATTCAACCTCAATCTGTTAGCCGCCATCCATCCTCCAACCGCCTCCAGACACTCACACAGGACCTTCACCGCCCTCACTGGTTCTGATTTAAAAGAGAGGTAGAGCTGGGTATCATCCGCATACTGATGAACACCCAGCCCAAACCTCCTGATGATCTCTCCCAGCGGCTGCATGTAAATGTTGAAAAGCATGGGGGAGAGGACAGAACCCTGAGGCACCCCACAAGTGAGAGCCCAGGGGTCTGAACACTCATCCCCCCCACCACTTTCTGAACATGGCCCAGGAGGAAGGAGCGGAACCACTGTATGACAGTGCCCCCAGCTCCCAGCCCCTCAAGACGGTCCAGAAGGATGTTATGGTCGATGGTATCAAATGCCGCTGAGAGATCCAGCAGAACTAGGAAACAGCTCTCACCTTTGTCCCTAGCCCGCCGGAGATCATCAACCAGTGCGACCAAGGCAGTTTCAGTCCTATGATGAGGCCTGAATCTCGACTGGAAGGGATCCAAATGGTCCGCTTCTTCCAGGCGTGCCTGGAGTTGTTCAGCAACCGCTCGCTCAATCACCTTGCCCAAGAATGGAAGATTTGAGACTGGGCGATAGTTGGCCATCGTGGCCGCATCTAAAGATGGTTTTTTAAGAAGCGGTTTAATAACCACCTCTTTCAGCGGGTCTGGGAAGGCTCCCTCACGGAGGGAAGCATTCACCACCCCACGAAGCCCATCGCCCAGTCCTTCCCGGCTAGCTTTTATAAGCCAGGATGGGCAAGGATCCAGGAGACAGGTGGTTGGTTTCACTCGTCCAAGCAGCCTGTCCACATCCTCGGAGGTAACAGATTGTCGGAGGTAACAGATTTTTACTGATTCCCTGCTCCCCTGCAGCTCCCCCAAACATTGGCTCCAGAGAGTTGGAGCACCCTCCACTGTTGTATCTCCAACATTAGGAAGTTGATTAAAGATAAAAAAGGTAAAGGTAAAGGACCCCTGACAGTTAAGTCTAGTCGCAGACAACTCTGCGGTTGCAGCGCTCATCTCACTTTACTGGCCAAAGGAGCCGGCGTTTGTCCGCACACAGTTTTTCTGGGTCATGTGGCCAGCTTGACTAAGCCGCTTCTGGCAAAGCCAGAGCATCATACGGAAACGCCATTTACCTTCCCACCGGAGTGGTACCTATTTATCTACTTGCACTTTTTGGTGTGCTTTCGAACTGCCAGGTTGGCAGGAGCTGGGAACAAGCAACGGGAGCTCACCCCGTCGCAGGGATTCGAACCGCCGACCTTCTGACTGGCAAGCCCAAGAGGCTCAGTGGTTTAGACCACAGCGCCACCCGTGTCCCTGATTAAAGATACTGAGCCTCAAAGCAAGGCCTATTATGAGTACCTTAGTGTGTAGGTAGGTTCAAAGCTAAGGTCTCATTGTCTGGAACTCCTTTTAACAGGTGCTTTGAAGAAGGGTGAGCCCAAGCCATTCTGCTGCCTGAGGTGGAACTACCAAAATCAGCCGCCTGAGTTGGTCACCTCACTCTGCCTACTGGCAGGGCCAGCCCAAGGCAGGTCCAAAATGCATCTTCCTAGGAAAAGCAGCTGCAGTTTGAAAGCTCAGAATACAAACCAGCTGATAGTAAAGAGCATTCTCTGTATTCTAGGAACACCCCGACAACACACATTACTCATTACAAACAGAAAACGGTTAAAAGCTCAGGGAGGATGAGGATTAATACAGATCTGTTTTTGTCCTCCCATAGCTTCACTCCTCAGGACTGGAAAGCTACTTATCGGCTCCAAACAGAAATCAACACCCTTGCGAGGTTTGGCAGGAAGTCCGCTTTTAAAAACCATTTACAGTAGGAGATTTCCCTTTGTGTGGAAACTGCTAGAGGATTCGAGGGAGAGGAATGCAGCCAGGCTCTGATGCAGAATTGTTTGTGCTCAGTGGATAGGAAAAGTGAATGAGTGCGGATGGGTCGGGGGAGGACTGTAACACGGCCAGAGAGCCTGTAAGAAGAAAGAGCTGTTTGGCATCTGGCTTCCTGAAGCTCGGCTGCCTCTCTCTCTCCTCTCTCGCCTTGTCTGCCATATCAAATAGCTTTTTGAATGCACCGTTCAGTGAACCAAAATACATTTCAAGATCTTATGTGGGGGAGCCTTGCCCCGAATTGAAGTAAGTGGTGGAACTCCCATTAATTTCAAAGCAAGGTACAAGGAAGGGGAAGAGGCCTTTTGTCACCGTCCCCCACATTTTTGCCTTTGTTTCCCCCCTCCTCCTCCATGCTCTGAAAATCATGGCTCATATCCATCTCTGGTGGTACTTGAATAACTGCTCTGCTGTGATCTGCATCACAAAAGTGCCTTTAAAAGCAAGTCAAGCGAGCAACACAGCACTTGTCAGGGCTCCATTCCTCCCTCTCCCACTTTGATTTCTCCTCCCTCGGGACCAACTGCAAATCCGCCAGGCATCCAGATTTTGTTTGACAGAACACGGAAGCGTTGGAAACAGAAACGTGTGGCGTCTTTGCAGCGGGAAACTATGGGTGTTTTCATTTGCCGTGTGCTCATGAGACACACAGGGTGGGTAGGTGGGGGGAAGGGGGTGAATAGTCAGTCGTTAAATTCTATAGGTATCTGGAGAACTATGTTTTCAGGGGAATCCAAATTTCCAAGATGTACAGGTTACAGGACTGGTGAAAGTAAAAGTAGGTGAGGCCAGCAAATGCTTCCCTCTAGTTCAGGCGTGCCCATTTCCATGAGTGGACCGCTGAGTCACTTGATTTGGCAGGGCATACCTGAAGGGTGCTGGGCACCAGAGCTGCTGTGTAAGGGTAAAGGTAAAGGGACCCCTGACCATTAGGTCCAGTCATGGCTGACTCTGGGGTTGCGGCGCTCATCTCACTTTATTGGCCGAGGGAGCTGGCATACAGCTTCCAGGTCATGTGGCCAGCATGACTAAGCCGCTTCTGGTGAACCAGAGCAGCGCATGGAAACGCCGTTTACCTTCCCGCTGGAGCGGTACCTATTTATCTACTTGCACTTCGTGCTTTCGAACTGCTAGCTTGCAGGAGGAGGAACCGAGCAACGGGCGCTCAGCCCGTCACGGGGATTCGAACTGCCGACCTTCTGATCAGCAAGTCCTAGACTCTGTGGTTTAACCCACAGTGCCACCCACGTCCCTGTGTAGGTACAGCTATACTGAAGTGCTGATTTGGGGCTATCACATCAGTCACTACGTCTTGCTGTATTCTGCTGAATCATAAGGCAAATTCAACACATTCTGCAACATGCTCTAACATAACTCCATGCTCTAACATAACTCCGGCTGGACTGGCTGCTTTTAATCCAGGTGATCCGCACTGCATCCTGTGATTGACCAATGTTTCCTTCTGCTTAGTACTTTCTGCCCAGTTTCCCACCCATCCACCTGCTTGCTACCTCTGTAAACCATGGTGGTACCTGATGGCACTGCCTCCAGAATGAGAGCTGATTTTTTGGTGAGAGAATGGAAGAACATCCTTCTATATGTGTTGTCCTAAAACCACTTTGTGTGGATCCAAGGTAAATAATCATAGCTCCAGTTTCTTAGCAGACAAGGAAGAAGAAGCATTATAGAGGATTTAACCACTTCCCTAGGGACGCGGGTGGCACTGTGGGTAAAACCTCAGTGCCTAGGACTTGCTGATCGTAAGGTCGGTGGTTCGAATCCCCGTGGCGGGGTGAGCTCCCGTCGTTCGGTCCCAGCTCCTGCCCACCTAGCAGTTCGAAAGCACCCCTAAGTGCAAGTAGATAAATAGGTACCGCTTTATAGCGGGAAGGTAAATGGCATTTCCGTGTGCAGCACTGGTGCGGGCTCGCCAGAGCAGCTTCGTCACGCTGGCCACGTGACCCGGAAGTGTCTTCAGACGGCGCCGGCTCCTGGCCTCTTGAGCGAGATGAGCGCGCAACCCTAGAGTCGGTCACGACTGGCCCGGACGGGCAGGGGTACCTTTACCTTTACCTTTAACCACTTCCCTAACAATGGCAACAAAGAGTAAAGGGGAGTAAAGGGGAATTCATGTTTATACAATATTTCAAACAAGGGCAGAGACTTCCATGAAGTTGTGGGTACTGCAGTAGAAAAGTCCTATGATGGGCCAGAGGCTGATAAAATCCTGCCATGCTCTGTAGCTGCATGGAGGGCATCAGGTTCAGTTAATAATAATTTGGAATTATAAATTAATTATGGTTGGAATTTAGTGAGCAGATCTTTTTTCGTAATTAGTCAAACTTAGTTTTTTACCAGCGATTCAGCACAATGTGTGTCTGTATCTATCTTCCCCCATAGAAATGCCAGAATACAATAACAGGTTGGAAAATCTGCCCTCTCCAAAGAGGAAAAGAATAAATCAAGACAAATTTTATACCAGGATAAAAATTATTCATAACATTTTGAACATCAGGTTGAACTGAGAGGTAGCTAACTAAACAGACTTTACTGGGAAAATGGGAGAGAGAGGGGGAAAAACAGTATCCTGTTAATAATGCTGCCATGCCCAGCATGCAGGAAGTGATTGATGGTTATTGGCACAACACATGTTAATTAAACAGATGAGTCCTATGAATTCCTTAATATTTCCTGTTGCAAGGCCAGGAAATTGTTAAAAATTTCATATTTTGTGCTGATAGCACCCATAAAGACCATATTGATGGGAGAGTCTCTCTATATAAACTAGAAAAAATTACACTGTGAATAATGCCCTGGTTTCATTCATCCAGTATATTTCTCTGGGGAGTTTCCTTCTATTCGCAACAAGGCTCCTTCAGTATTAAACTGGAAAGGTTGAATTCAGAGTTCTGTGTTGAGGAAAATTTTTGAGCACGTTCACTGCCCGCTAATAAGCCACTCTCTTATTACTCATGCGACTGTTGGCTTTGTCAGGTAATCAAAACCTTACAACATTGTTGAAAACTTCCTACATACAGCACTGAAAAATGAGCGTGGGTTAAGTGCATTTTTAGATGCTGAGTGAAGATAAAATGAGATTGGCAGACCGTAAGAGCAGCACTCAAGGCCTATTAAAACCCTTCATGCAAAGTTCTTGATTCTTAACTTAAGAGCTTGTTGGAATTATATTTGTTAATCCTATGTATACATGGTTAAAGGGGTTATATGATAGCAATCAAACCTAAACTTTCCAACCATGGCTGCACCCAGACAAAACACTTTTTGAGTCAAGAATGAAGTGATGGCAAATGCTTCTATATATAGTGAAGTACAGTGGTACCTTGGTTTATGAACTTAATCCGTTCCAGAAGTCCGTTCATAAACCAAAGCATTCTTAAACCAAGGCGTGCTTTCCCATAGCTGCAGGGGGCTCAATTTACAAATGGAACACACTCAACAGGAAGCGGAACATGTTCTTATTCCAAGGCAAAGTTTACAAACTAAAACACCTACTTCTGGGTTTGCAGAGTTCTTAATCCAAGTTGTTCATAAACTAAGCTGTTCTTAAACCAAGGTACCACTGTAGCTGTAGCAGCAGTAATAATAATAATAATAATATTTATACCCCGCCCATCTGGCTGGGTTTCCCCAGCCACTCTGGGTGGCTTCCAATAAAATATTAAAAATACAATAAATCATCAAACATTAAAAACTTCCTTAAACAGGGCTGCCTCCAGATGTCTTCTAAGAGTCAGATAGTTGTTTATTTCCTTGACATCTGATGGGAGGGCGTAAAATCTGTTTTACAAAAGGAACCCAAACAGAATTGTCTTAAAGAAAGCATGTCATGTGTCTCACAAGACTTGCCCCACTTTGAACATTCAGATAAGGGCAGTGTGACATTGCTCATGATATCTGACTCGTATAGATTTGCATACTAAGAGATATATGATAAAATGTTATGTAGCTAAGGAGATATTTATAAGGTGTACGGTAAGGAGTGAAAGCAAGTGGGGGAGAGGGGGTGGAATGAAGGAGTGTGTCATGTGTTGATTTCCTGAGGGTGGAGTGTGACTGTTAGAAGAGGGGTGCGAGAGGAAAGGGGAGAGTTGGATTTCGGGAGGGAGGAGACGGGGGCAGGGGGCTGGTGTGGGTGCCGAGAAGCAGGGAATAGGACAAGATTAGGATTTGCATTTGTATTAGGAATAGACTTATGAACACATGTCATGACATACAAAAAAAATCCAAACGCTGTTTTTGAAATGAATGTGTTACATTCAGCTGTTAGATTATAAAAAAAGGTTTGTTCATTCAAACTACTGTACTTTTCTGTGTATAAGATGAGGGGTTTTTTTTTACGATAAAAAGTAGTTAAAAACTGGGGGCGTCTTATACACGGGTCTCCTGCCAACCTAGCAGTTCAAAAGCACGTCATGTGCAAGTAGATAAATAGGGACCGCTCTGGCGGGAAGGTAAACGGCGTTTCCATGTGCTGCTCTGGTTTCCCCAGAAGCGGCTTAGTCATGCTGGCCACATGACCCGGAAGCTGTCTGCAGACAAACGCCGGCTCCCTCGGCATATAGAGCGAGATGAGCGTGCAACCCCAGAGTCGGTCACGACTGGACCTAATGGTCAGGGGTACCTTTACCTTTACCTATACATGGGTAGTGGTGAGGGGTGTATTGTTTCCTGCCATGAGCAGTCAATTGTCACTGGCGTTAGTGCGGGAGATTGGTGACTGCGTCAATGGCTGCTGTCGATTGGGTGCTGCTGCAGCAATTGGACAGGTGATTAGCAGCTGCTTGCGGTGAGCAGAAATAGAGAAGAAGAAGAAGAAGAAGAAGAGTTTGGATTTGATATCCCGCCTTTCACTCCCTTTAAGGAGTCTCAAAGCGGCTAACATCCTCCTTTCCCTTCCTCCCCCACAACAAACACTCTGGTTCCCCAGATTACGAGACTACCGCTCTTAACCACTACACCACACTGGCTGTGGTAGAGAGGAAATGGAGACTTCTGTGTTGCGTTCAGTCGGAAGCGTTGGCCAGTCGGGTGAGCCTTTTTTGGCATCCACCCCCCCTAAAGCTCAACAACTGTTGGCAACCTTTCCCCCAAAAAGCTCAACAACTATTTTTGAGTCCCCCTAAATAGTCTTATACACAGGGGTGTGTTATACACAGAAAAATACAGTATGTCTCGTATTTGGCCAAGCTATCAAGGATGTGACAAAAATTAGTCAGAGATAGTAGTGCCTATATGGTGGCAGCAGAACGCTGGTAGTTAAAAAGATGGATTGAGGTGCTAGGAGCCCAGAGGTGGAAACCCTATAAGGCAAAGGGGGGCGGGGGAGAGGAAGCCAGGTGGGCTGAGAGGGATTGGTGATTTGAATTCAAGTCCCCTCTTGCTCTAAGTGGTGGGCTTAGGTGAAGGGTTGCAGCGCTGCAGTGGTGTGGTAGAGAAATGGCAGAAGCCCCTTCCTTCCATCATGCAGATGGGTCTGGAATGTGAACCGAATTCTCCATGCGAGCACCTAATTACATAGATGCCCAATTTGGGTGCTTCCCCCTGTCAATAAGCAGGCCTCCCCTTGAGGGCCCAGCTCAAACTACAGGCT